ATCTCGAAAAGCTTCACCATCTACGCTGATTACCTCCGATTTGTCTCAGTGTGTCGCAGTTGGCGATCCTCCGTTCCCAAAACCCCTCTCCATCTCCCTCCGCAACTTCCATGGCTCATGCTCTCTCCCCGAGCATTCTTCGATCTCTCCCTCAACAAAACCCATCTCCTCAACCTCAACCTCCCACACCCTTCCAATTGCACCCGAATCTGTGGTTCCTCTCATGGTTGGCTCGTCATTCTCCACCATGCCCCCGAGATTCACCTCTTAAACCCCATCACACGCGCCACGCGCTCTCTTCCCCCGCTTCACACCTTCCCTAACGTCGCCAGTTTCAGTTATTCCAACGTGGGTCGAGAATACTTTATTAGAAACCCTAATGGCACCATCTACGCTTTCAATCTGAGGCAGATGTGCAACTCTTTTCTCAGAAAGATTGTCCTGTCGGCTAGTCCTCTCTCAGCGATCAATTCGCCGCGTTCGCTATCGTTGGTCGGAATAATTTGGCATTTTGCAGAAACGGTTGTGATTCTTGGGTTCCCGTGAACGAAGAAGAGCTGTACTGTTGGGAAGATGCTGTGTATCACAATGGATTGTTTTTTGCGGTGAGCAAAGGAGGGGCTATTGCGGTGTGCGATGTTGAGGGTTCTTTTCCCCCTCGTGTCTCGATTATTCAAACCTCGACATTGCAATTCTATGGTGATATTTACTACGTGGTGTTTTCCGGGGACGAAATGTTGTTGGTGACTCGGGTTCTGGAACAGGAGTTTTCAGGGGATGAATCGAACTTGGTGTATAGGACGGTGGGGTTCGAGGTTTTTTCGATGGATTGGGGTTCGTTGAAATGGCAAAAAATTGAGAGTTTGGGGGAGCGCGCGTTGTTTGTTGGGGGGAATTCTTCGCTTTCTTTTTCTGCGTCTGATTTTGTTGGGTGTTGTGCGAATTGCATCTATTTCACTGATGATTATTCGGAGTCTAATGACGATGATGCCTATGGGAAACATGATTTGGGCATTTTTAGATTACGAGATCAGAGCATTGAGCCGTTGCCGTGTTTTTCCCCAAATTCATTTTCCAGGCTTCGTTGCCCTCTCCCAATTTGGGTTTCGCCCAACCCGTGCTGATTTCATAATTTCGTTAAGCGAAATGCCTTGTGACATTAGAAAGCAAGTAGTTTGTCTTGTTGTATAAATGCTATGTAAATGTGCATTACCCTGTGTGGAACTATGAGCTTTGAATGTAAATGCGTGAAGCCATTTTTAGGTGGCCTTTATGATCTATTTGATGTTATATGCAGCAACGTATTTCATTGTCAACTTGTAATGTGTTTGACTATGTAATACTTGGTGAATTTGGTCTTGACGAACAAGGTATTCCGATGATTATTCTAATGTGTGGTGTTTTAGACTTGAGACTTCTCGGTTAAATCTTTTTGGCGTGTCTTTTTGACATAATTTCCTTAGATGATAAGTGATAACGATATATTGATGCACTGAGCCTCTCTCAGCTGTGTAGTGAAAATGCGTGCATAATATGCAGATTGTAAAAGACTTCTGCCTTTTTTATGCTGCAAAATTGAAAAATCTTACTGAAGGAGCACGCCATGCCTCGCTCGGCCTTTGCTTTGTGTCCCATATAAAAAGATACTGAGCAGAGTTGTCTTGATAACACTTCTAAACAAGGGACAGGGACCAAAAGATGTTCCACAGCTCATACAATAAATAATTATATTAGCACTTTTAAACAAGTTAATAAGAACCTCACAAACACCATAAGATAAATAACTATATGCAACAAAACAAATAAACTAGTTATGTGCAAATGTTGAAAAGTACTTTTAAGGCGATTGTTTAGGATACGCAAAAATTATTTTATTTTAGAAAATAGTAAATGTGTTTTTTATTAAGTGTTTTTGGAATTTTATCCTTTAAGTTGTTCTTAATTAATTTATAAGATTGATTAAATTATGGAAGAGCTAATTTCATTGTACTATAATAAGATAAGTTAATTTTACTCGATTTAAGATAAATTAATTGAAGTGAAATGCCAAATTTATAATAATTTTACAGTGTTTTTATTTACAAGTTAAAGAAAAATTAAAAAAAAAAGTGATTACATAAGTGATACGGTAGAGCGAGATAAAATAACTGTATCGTTATAAAAATTTATTATAAATGTTTATTGTATGAATAGAAAGTCTAGATAGAAAAATGTATATACACAATGGGGTGGTATATCTTTCAATACAATGTTAAATAACAAAAATGCTACTCCAATATCTGACAAATGGGAGATTTAGTAAATAATATAAAAATAAAAGTTATCGTAATAATATTGTTTTAAATGTATTCTTAAATTATAATATTTTATTGTTAGAAATTTTTTGTGACGGTCGTAAGATGCATGCTTTTATTCCGGATAAATAATTAATACATTTTTTTATATAATAACATAAAATAACAATTTTTATATAATAAGATTTCATTCGAAAATTATAAAATATTATAAGCATACTATATTTAAAATATTAAATATTTAATATTAATTAAATTATTTATTATAATTTTAAACATGCGTTAAAAATTTCATCAATTAATTAATCGATAAAAAAAAGGAAGATTTATCATTTGATCTTTGCATTTGCCAGGTCGGCAGTGACAGACCACCCAATGCAGGTGATAGATGAACGGCTGAAACATTGTTAAACGGATAAGATGACTGACAAACACATGAATACGTTTGGGCCGGAGGATAAAATCTGGATATTCTAATGGCAGTATAACAAAAGTTAAACATCTATGGCCTATGGGAGTAATTTTTTAGGGTACCCATTACTTTTTAATTTTTATTTTTCATCTATTCGTGTCCAATCGTTTTCTTTCAAATCAAATAATATGAAACAATAGTTCCACCTCTTAATTAGTTAATTTACTCATATACATAATTATTAGTGTTTTTGATTGGTAACATTATTAAACGAATATTGTCCAAAATCAAACAAACAACAAAATTCTTTTACCAAATCAATCAAATACCAACAGCAATATTATACATTTAGAATAACATGATAAAAAATTATAGGATAAAAAAACCATATATTAAAACATTAACTCTTACCCTCAGTATATTGGCTAGAATATTATAATAACAACAATAATAATATGATGTAATGTTTTTAATATGTTTTACGATATTATTTTTTTTTATCAAATTTATTATTTATGGTATACTTAATTAGTATATTTGAAATAATAATTTTTTTATAGACAAAATATATGTTATTAAAGAGAATTCAAGAAGTAATGTTTATTAAAAAAATATATATATTTATACAAAATTAAGACAGATGTAATTTTGTATATTTAAATTATAATTAGTTAAAATAATAATTTTTTCTTTATTAATAAGTGATAGTCATTTTTAAAACTTCAGAATAATATAATCTAAAACTTCTTTTTTATAAAAAATAATTATATTTTGATATAATCACAAAGATCACACTTTGAGTAAATAAATCTAAATATTGATTAAAGATAATATTTCTATTAATGGCAGTATGTTTTCAATACATTAAGGTTGGATATAGCTGAGGAAAATTTGTCACTTGTAAAGAAACGCAGCACGAGTTAAACTTTGTTAGAAGTGACATCTACCTATAGTGTCAAGTTTTAAAACAAAAATACCCCTTTCAAATAATATATCCCTTGTTATAAAATCCTTATCGAAAATATAATAATATATTTACTTGCATAAAGTTTGATATATTTTTAATAAAAAAATATTCTGTATTAATTTTTTGACTGATATTATAAAAATATTATTCAATAAGAATTCTGAAAGAAATTAATTATAATATAATTTTATACTGTTAATTAATTAAACATACAATTAAATATAATATTTAAATTAAGTATTATAAAAATAAATTTCAAATAAATAATAATAATAAATCTACATGATTAAAATTTGTTTATTAAATTCAAATATGCTATTACATATTTATTAATGATGATGTGTCGTCAATATATCACAGATGGATCCAGTGGAAAAGATAGTCACTCATAAAGTAACGAATCACAATTAAAACTTTTGCCAAAAATGATATTTCTGTATAATATCGAAATTTGAACAAAATTACCTCTTATAAATAATCATAAAAAAATTGTGCTGGTGATAATATTTATTTCTTCACATGCTCAGTATCTTATTTTGACATTTTTAAAATATTTAATATTTTCTTTAGCATCATGCTTAATATGAACTAAAATTAAATAGTGCCCAAAAATAATATTTTTGTAAAAAAGTTTACTATCCAAATATTTACCAACAAATTCATGCATCATTTTAGAAATAAAAAAAAAAACTATTAGTTTACGTTTAGATTGTTATTCGAAGTTCGAAAAATAGTTAACTTTATCAATAGTTTAGCAATCTATATATTTTTTTAATGTTGTTAATTGTTTTGCGGCCAAGTAATACGTACTGTTGAGATTATTAGCACTGAGATGAGTACGACTTTTATCGAAATCGTTATCATGATAAAAAAAAAACAGTTTCTTTTTAACTAAAAAAATAATAATGTTTTGTTTTCATTCACGTTAAAAATTATTTGTCATATTTGAAATAAAAACAACTTTTATTATAATTTTAACACACTCGTGATATTTTTTATTTATTAATTATAAATGCATGTAAAACATTAACCAAAAAACTAAAAAATAAACGGTCCTAACCTTTTTAACATTTTTTATATTTTAATATTTGACATAAATGAATATTCTGGCAAAAGCTGCTATCTTTAAAATTAGTTGTTTTTTTTAAATATTAATATATAACCTCTAACTTTTTAACAGTTATTATTTTTAAAAATAATAGTAATTATAAAATGAAATTTTTATTCAATATATTACAAAATAGTTAATTTTAGCCTTAATATTTGAAATACAAAATGAGTTAATTGGAGTAAATGAATGATGGATATGATTTGATTATTGGATGAAGAGGGAAGATACGTTTGGGGCATTGAAGAGGAGAGCAGAGGAGTCAGAAGCACAAGTGCATGTCAACGCTTGGAAGCTGGACGCAGACAAGTGAGAAACAGAGCAATGTCAGGCTACCAATAACCCCACAACAGAAAAAGAAAGAACCATCAACACAGCCTCAGTCACTGAGATAAGACTCATAAAATAAAAAGGCTTAGGAATTTGCACCGTACTTACACCATCCGCAATGGCAGAAAAAGCCAACTCTGCTGCGTAACCGTTCTCTCCCACGCGGCAATCCCTCTTCTTTAATTCCCGTTCTCTCTTACCTTTGGTCACTCTCATTCCCCCCCTTAATTGCTATTCTCGTTTGTCAATTTCTCTTCTCGATATTCTCATTCTTCCTTTCTTTCTATTTACGCTTTTCACATCAAATATCTCTCTGCCTCTCCCATTTATGAAACACACCAATACCACCCTCCTTCTTCCTCAGTCGTAGATTTCATTTCTCGCTTTGCTCCGAATGTCGTCGCCGGCTACGAGCAAGGGCCACGGTGGCGACGAGGGAAAGCTTTACCCCGCTCCACTTGCCCCTCATGACGACGTCTGCAAGGACCCTACTCTCTTCTGGGATACTCTCAGGCGCTTTCACTTTGTCATGGGCACCAAATTTATGTAACCTTCTATTTCTTCTCAATAATATTTTAAAAATGTGGTTTTTATTTTATGGGGCGGAGTATTTTTAATTTTTTTTTGGATTGTGATTTCTGTGAGACTAAAATGTTGGAGCTTTTTGGGCATACCAACTTGTGAAGGATTCCTGTGATTGGAGGGAAGGAACTGGATTTGCACGTTCTTTACGTGGAGGTTACCAGAAGAAGTGGGTACGAGAAGGTGGGCTCCATCCCTACACCTATTTTTCAATATTAATAAGTAATGTTTTTGTAACTCCACACCCCCCCCCCCCCTTTTCAAGTTCAGGTGGTTGCAGAGAAGAAATGGAGGGAAGTTGGTAGTGTTTTCAGGTTCTCAGCAACCACCACAAGCGCTTCTTTTGTACTCAGAAAACATTACTTCAGTCTTCTTTTTCATTACGAACAAGTTCATTTCTTTAAAGCTCGGGGTCCTCTCTACACTCCATCACCAGGTACTTCACTCTTTCTATCTATCTATAGATTTCTGGTTTTGTTTATTGCCAAATAAAATTCAAATGCACTTATCCAACTTTATTGTCCTGCAGATGCATTTTCTGCCAACAGCCAATCGTGGAGACCTGAATTGGCGATTGTCCAATATTCGCCTAAGTCCATAAATGATTCTCCTGAATCTCGTCATCAAGGTATAATATTCAACAATTCGCAAGTCAGAAAATACAACTGTTTTTTTTAAAGGTCGGAAAAGAAAAACGATAAATTGCAAAGATGACTTATATTGGAATTGCCATCTTCATGGAGTAGGTTGATTAATTTCAATTTCGTTCGTGGGTGTCCTTGCTGTGCTATATATGTTAAACTGATGTCTGATGGCTAATAAATAAAATTGGTGGAGTTATACTATTTATTGCATATCTATGTCTTGCACACAACTCAACGCAACTTACTGGGAGTTCTAATTGAATGCCTACTTAAATATATGTTGTAATGCTGTCAAGGTTGGCTTCAACTGAAAAATAAGACATAATCTGATGATGCTATGTGATTGTAATTTAAAATCAATAATTATAAGACTAGAGAATTGTTTAACTTGTAGCATGCTTGTCTCAGCAACAAGAAGTAAATTGGCATTGAGAATGAGACACACATTACATTCTTTGGTATTTGTATTTCTTTACATGCAATGCCAATTAAGCTTTTCAGTTTATTGTTAATTATTGCCAAGGGTGGACTGACAGAAGCAGCTATTGGCATTTGCCATTTTAAGCCAGATACAATGTGTTGCTTATCTACTAATGTTCCATGCTCTCTCAGAGCTTTTTAATGCTGAATTTTACTGTTTGTTGTATGTGCGTAGATACTTCATGTCTTTCTGGAAATGGAACAATAGAGGGGAAATTTGATTGTGGTTATTTAGTGTCGGTGAAATTGGGCTCAGAAGTTCTTAGAGGTGTGCTTTACCATCCAGAGCAGTCGGATCCGCTTCCATCAATCCCGCAACACAGCAATGCCATTGTACCATTCAAACGCAAACCTCACCGTTCTGGTCGTAGGAGGAAAAACAAAAGAAGGTGGGACCCCAACTACCCAAAGCCAAATAGGAGCGGCTATAACTTCTTCTTTGCTGAAAAGCATTACTCTCTCAAATCACTCTACCCAAACAGAGAAAGGGAATTTACGAAAATGATTGGCCAGTCATGGAATAGTCTTAGCCCTGAAGAAAGAATGGTAATAAAAAGGGTTATTTTGTTTTTTCTTAGTCGATCATCTGCATTATTTACATTGTTGTTATCTGGCAGCTAAGTTTTACTTGATAGTTTTAATTAGAGTAGGATGCAGACTATAGATGGTTGCCAAATGTTGCAGGTTTACCAGAACATTGGCTTAAGAGACAAAGAAAGATACAAGAGAGAATTGACAGAGTACAAAGAGAAAATGAAGCTGAGGCAGACCTCAGAAGTTGGACGTCCATAAAATCTCACTGGAAGTAGCCTTCAATCTTTATGGCTGCAAAAGAATGGATGTGTTGACTCTTACATGCATATTGTTATGGATAATGCTCCACTGGCTGAGGTCTACAAGACAATTGTTTTTCTTTTAGGATAACGAGTGTCGATTGTCAGACCATTTCATTCAGTTTAATCAATCAAACTATCATTTAACAATTGTTATATTCTTACACTGTTTTTTTCTAATTTTCGTTTTTTACATCACATCATTTGTTAAATCTTATTTTCTCTCTTTTCTTCTTATCACTTTTGGCACTCATCTTGCACCACAAAATATAACATCTACCATGTTACATTATTCTTGTTTTTAAAAAACACTAATATATTGAAAATTTATATTTTAAGCTAAATTTATTTTAATTAAATGTTTTTATATTTTTTTAATCAATATAAAAATAACCGTTCACTTCTTTCTTTTTATCAAGTAATATATTTTAAATTTTGCTTCTCTTAAAAAATTAAACAGTAGCGTGCCCTGCATCCTTGCATGAATAATGTTTATATTTTTAATGCAAAAATGAGATTTTAGAAGAGATGTATCCCAATAGTAAATAAGGTTTTAAAATTGTTGTAATAAATTTAGCCAAAAAAAAAATTGTAATAAATTATAGACATAGGCTTTAGGCAAATAAGGTTATGTTTAAGTTTAACCAACAACCACCAAAATAACTGAGGTTAAGCCAGTTTGTCAAGAAATTTAAGCAGTTTGACACTGGTTACGGTCGTTTTAACCAGAATTTTCGAAAGTTTCATAACAGTATGTATGAATTTTTTTTAATAAAAAATAGTTTTAAATATAAATTTTTACTATAAATTATTTAATTACTTTAAATATATTGAGATACTACAGCGGCATTTAAAGAAATTAATATTTGAGTGTTTTACATAACTACCTACATCCTGCATGATGCTGAGAAACTATTAAAAAAAAAACCAGCCATGGCTCTTACTGATGCTTACGCAAACTAAGAAAATAATAAATCCTTTTCCAAATAATCGAAAGTCAATGTGAGTTTGAACAACCTAATACTAATTAAGAAGTCCAAGAAAGTCAAGATTTCAGTTTCTACAAGAACAACTCAATATTTCAGAATTTTATACTATAATCTTTGTCTTAAGGAAAAATTAAGAAGGACTAAGGTAAGAAAGTGAAAGAAGCTGCCGTCCAATTTGAATCAAATCCTGCGGTAAATTTCCCCAACATCTTCCATACCTTTGCACTGGTATCTTGCAACTTAAATTTCCTCACAGAACGTTCATCGTAAAATAAAAGAAACCAAAAAATTCAAGAAACTAACGTCAAGTTCCGGTTTCGCTCTAAACACCACCGCAAGCATTAAATTAAAAAATCTCGTAAAAGAACGTGAAAAGAAAATTTGTCATGAGCGTGAGGTGTCAACCTTTGAACTGGCGGAGACCCCTCGAGCTTCGAATGTGGGAACTCTCAACTAAGTATTACGAAAACATCAAGTTCTTGGGGTATATATTGGATAGGCACGGCGGTGGGCTCTATTCCACCGACTTTAATTTTTGTTTTTCAATTCTCTTGTAATTAAAATATAGAAAATATCAATTTAGATGTTTTTAAGTAATTAAAATAATAAATTTATTATTTATATTTTTAATGCAATAAATATTCATAAATAAAATTTGTTCGTTTCTAAGTTTTTAAAATTTATTTTATAGAAAAATTTTAAAAGTTATTTTAAAAAATGAAACATGAAAAAACGTTTGAGGTGTTCAAGAGATGATGCCTTCCATACCAACAATAAAAATAATGCCTGACATATTAAAAATAACAAAACATTACTTTCACCTTTATAAAACTAACACTAAAAATGATGTCTAACATGTTAACACTAAGTTGAAGACAAGATTTCTGAAGCAATTGAGATTTTGGTAATTTCAACACGAAACCATAATCAGCATCGTTGATTTATGAAAAGATCATCGTGGGCGATCTGGATTTTCTGCAACTAAGAAACTAGCAACACTTCATGCAGTTTTAATCCTACGGTTTCAGCAACTTTAAGAAACCCAACTAATTTTTATTTTCTATTAACACGCTTTTAGATCACCACTGCTTATTGTTTCTTAACTCCAGAGGATCCCAAATAGTGTATCGTTGCCGTGCAAGTGACCCGTACTACACCCTTTATGCAGCGTGGGCTTGAGTAAAATTATTGAAAGGACTTCATACAATATAAATTATTATTTTATATTTTGTATTCACAAAATTATTTAATGGAAAATTATATTTAAGTATTTTAATATTTTATTTTAAATAGGATACATATATATATATATATATATATATTTTATATTTTGTATTCACAAAATTATTTAATGAATATTGTTTATTTAAGATAGGATTTTAAAAATTGTTATAGCAGTAATAACTACTACAAGTGTTATCAGTAATATTCTATAATAGCACAAATATGATATAGTTTAATACTTCGAGTATTCATTTTTATTAGTTCTTTCTTCAATTTTTTTTAAATAAATTGAGGCCATCAATATTAAAAAATATTTAGTTAAAATTTTTTTAAAGATTGATAAAATATTTTTGTAATTTATCCTCAGATAAAGTTTTGAATTTTTTACTCAAATGAAAATCTAATTTTCTTTTATAGTGCAAGAATTTTTCAAATTGGGTCCTGATATAAATAAAATAATCTAATAATAAACATATAATTTAAAAATATAAAAGAGAATAAAAGATATAAAAAACCTGGCATAATATTTTTAATTTAAATTCTTTCTTATCCATTTTTATTTTAAATATATTTTTAAAATTATATATTATTCATTCAAATTAAATAAAAATAACTTGTACTACACCGGTGCTTACTTACATAAGAGAAAGAGCGCCTTTAAAGTTCTTCCATCTCGACAAGTAACTAATGCAATAATAATTTAATAACAAATATTTCAATAATTATTAATAAATATATTATTATTTTTATAAAATAATAATTAAGTATATTTAGAAATAAATACTTTTTAATTAATAAATAAAAGATTGACGTTATTTAATATAAAAAAGTAGAAGCTATGAGTATAAAATAAATAAAAATACGTGGTTAATAATAAATATATATAAAAATTACAGTAATTATTTTATATAATTGCAAAAATTATTATTTTTTATATATTATTTATTATTATTTTTTATCTCTCTCATTTTTCATCTCATACATCTCAAAAATAGAGTGCACGTGTACGTAACAATATTTTGAGAACTGCTTTTTTTAGCATGTATTGAAGTTTGATAATAGACAGCAGAATACTCTTTAATAAGGGAATAAAGTATAGAAAATGCTAGAAGCACTAACTAAAGAATTAAGAATTAAAAAATATAAAAAATGTAATACCGTATTTCCATAATAATTTCTAATATATTCTTAATGTGATTATTAGTATTATTTATTTATAGATAATATTTAGGACGCTAATTAACAAATACTCCCAAAATAAAATGAGGAGAGGAAAGAAAAAGATAATAAAGACAGGAAGAAAAAAAAAATAGTGACTCCATGAGTAGTTAATAACTTAATTTAGGACCATAAGTTATCTTCTGAATCCTCAATAAACAGGGACGAATGATTGCCGGATTAAAATTAAATAGCAGTGATGCCATATTAAAGTTATTTTAGTTGTGTCTGACTATGATATGTAATGTTAGGTTTATGTGGGAAGCGAGAGAAACAAGGGACGCAAGTGTTTGGTGGGTGGGTGATGCTATCAAAGGATTATATTATACTAATGAAAAGATTTTTTATTGTGTTTATCGTCATAACTCAAACTAAATGGTTAATAATTCTTGGATAAGATGCGGTGGTACAAGCAAAGCAAAGTCTCGTTGTAAATTGGGTGCGCATTACGCTCCCTCATTATTCTTAAACTCACTTTGCCATGTGATGCTAGAGGGACAGAGACTGCGAGTTGCTGAATGCCATTTTTCTTTCATGCAGTGAGCTTTTGACGTTCTTTACACTTTGATTGTCAGAGGATGATGTCACTATTGCGTTGACCTTGTGCTGTCTCGTTTCGGTTGGTGGTGTTGGTGACTCGGAATCTGAATACAGATATATATGTATATATGTACACATGGGAGATACAGAGAGTTGCAGCAGCAGAGTTTTCGATTCTGGGTGGAATCAAAGCCCGAAGCAGAGACAGAAGGTTGGAGTTTACAACGAGGTTCTTTGTAGACTTAGGGAATTGAATGTCCCAGAGGCTCTGGCTCCTGGTTTTGAAGATGAGCTTTGGGCGCACTTCTATCGCCTTCCCGCTAGGTACCCTGAAACCTTCGTGTTCTTGTCTTAAAATATTGGAATACTACTTTGAATTTGTATGAGTCTTGTTCTTTAATGGATTATACGGGAGAGATATAAATTGTTATAGAGTTAAAAATCCTGTAGACCTAGGTAACATTTAATTCTGCGTGTCACTCCGCGACAACCCAAAATTTGGAGTTTTGCTATTTGATTATTTTCAAGAGCTTTCTTTTAATTGTACTTCTCGTTTAATTTGTGTTTTTTCATAAAGGGTGTTTAATTTAATTTTTTGGAAAAATATTACTGTTTGTTTTTTGACGTGTTATGCACTAAGTTGTCTTGTGTGAAGACTTGTAATTGTTTGCAACTGGTGTTTGTCAATGTAATATGAATATGTCTTTGTTAGGTATGCGTTGGACATGAATGTGGAGAGGGTCCAAGATGTTCTTATGCATAAAAGGTTACTGGACATCGCACGAAAACCTGCTACAGCAGCAACCGCACCTGCTGTCGAAGTTCGTCTTGTACAGGTGATTCATGCCCAACCTATTCATAATAAGATTATTATTAGCAGATAAAGTTTTCACCTCTAAATGTTTTCTTCTCCTTCATCAATTAATTTTTCTACTTATCTCGATATTATTGTTTTAAGAATATTTGTCAATAAATTAATCAATAATTTTTATTACAAATCACAATGATAGTTTATTAATAATATTTTTTAATAAAATTTAAATACCAGCATTTTTTTTTAAATAAGTACTCACTGTATATTTTTTATTACGCACTTGACTGACTGGGTCAGAAAGTAAACGATGGGTATTGGCAACTTCGTTGGCAAAGAAACCTAGTCCTTTTTTTCTATTATGTACAAGCCTGCATGTATTCTTTATTGCATCGTGTTAGGAAAGAAAATTGAACAAATATGAAACTTTTTCTTGTTTGAATAAAAAGTGAAATAGACAAAATAAAAAAGAAATATGTAGGAAGAAGTCAAAACTCTTTAAAACTGCTCCTCGTTTTAATTTCGCAATCATTTTTTATCTCTACAATAAGATAAGCAATGAAAAATGGTACTAGATAACTAGACTGCTTGTTGGTTGTATGACTCAATATGTTTATTGTATCCATTTATAAAATATTTAAGAGTTGTAGCTAAATAGTTTTCTTATGTTTAACTTTTTACAATAATTATTTATAACTCCTTTACTGTTACTTAAATCATTCTTTATTGTTGAATTCATATTCGTCCAAAATTCTAAATTTTTTCATCTAAACATAACTTCAATGCTCAGTCTCGAGGAAATTAACATGCTCTGACTTCATTAGTATCTAGAAAAGAATTTATTCATCTATCTGGAAATTTTGCCAGCCGGCACTTGCATTAACCAATTGATTTGGAAGATCATGTTAGTATATCTTTAATGCAGGTTCGTTATACTTCTGGTGTGCAAAGTAAAGTCAGTCCTCAAGATTCTGGCATTCCAGGCAACATGAGGCATGATGGCATGATTATGTGAATATTTACTTGCCTTTTTCCTCTTCCTTTATACACAGTTATAGTTATTTGAACTTATCAGTCATCGATGTCTTATAGATAGGTTTATTAAACTTTTCCAACTGTCTTTATTTTCATGCTTTCTCAGCTTCCATCCTCCCCCGGCCTTCGGTTCATCAGTTAACATGGAACTTGCTATTGGTGAGAGCCAGTTACAGGTCAGAGATAGGGACAACTATGTTAATTTTTATGCACATTATGCCAGGTAAGACTTCAAGATAATATTTACCTTTTCTTAGCACTTTTTACAATCCATTTATTTAATTTACCTTTCTTTTTAATTTTTTTAACATTTTCTTCGTGTATATATATTTTTTCTTTTACAATTTAATTATGACTTTATGTCAATAAGCATGGTAATATTTATTGTTCGGCTTAAAAATAAGATTTTAAAAGTCTTAAAAAAAATTTGGGACTTTTTAATTTGGTCCATTTTTTCAATTTTTTAAAATTAGATCTTTTAAAAATTAATTTTTTATTTGATTCTTTTCTTAGTAATTTATTACCTTGTTCCATTATTTGGTCACATAACATCTAAGTTAACTCATAATTTGACTAAAATAAGACATACACAAGATATGTCATTAACAATTTCATATCCTTTATATTTTTAAATGAAATTTTATTTATAAGATTATAATTTTTAAAATTAAGATTTAGAAATATAAAGATGATGAAAATGTAGATATTGCATCATCATCCACATTAATTCCATATTATATTATACAAAGTTAAGTTGGATGCTATATAGGCGTAAGAAACATTAACGAATCATTAATAGATGAACCATATGGTAGTCAAAAGGATTTTTGGGAGGACTTATTTGGAATAAATTTAAAATAGAGGAGCAAATGATGAAATCACAAATTTTTTAGGAACTAAAAGCAAATTTAAGTTTTGTTCTTTTATGTTACTCTTTTTTCTTGCTGAAGCCCTTTTTTATATTGCTTTTCACCTTTGTTTCTAATTACCACTTTTCATTCTACTACTTATGACAGGTCTATGCATGAAATCACAATTTCCACACATGACAAGCCAAAACTTTTCTGTCAGGTAATTGATCTTATTGTTGTGGTGAAAATATTTTTAGCTAATGTGGAAAACCTATGCCATACTGCTTTTATTTTTCTGATATTTTAGAAATTCATGTACAATATTTCATGTGGATTATGTGTTTACCTTAATAATTCCAACATAGAGTTTGGTTAGAGAGAAAGGGAGGAGAATATAGGGGCTGAAATCCCTCCTCCCTCAATACCCTATCCCCCTGTAAACACCAAAAATTTAGAGGGGAGAGAAGTTTTTCTACTAATTAGACTAAATTATGTTTAACTTAATGACTTTGTTTGTCTATTCTAAGGACATAACAGTAAAGTACTTTATTTTTCCTCCCTTTTCCTTGTGAACCAAACAAGGTGTCTCTCTCTTCCCTTCTCAACCTTTGAACAAAATATCAAGTCATGAGGGCTCGAGGCTTCTACAGAGCACAAACCTAATCACACTTATTAGATATTTTTAGTAAAATGCAAATATATATTAAACCCTTACAATAAACAGGTATTATATCTTTGAATTTCATTGTATGCTTATAATAATTATCTGAAATGGCTTCCAGAATCTATTTTTTATTTCATTGATCTCTTAATTTTATACAACTAAAGCTTTTTCCCACTAGATGGGTCAGCTACATTGATAGCTACCAAAAACTAGTGATATTGTTGATTAATTAGTGAGGACTGAACTTATGAATTTCCTTTTCAGTCTTTAAAAACAAATTTATGACTTTGAGGCTGCTAAAGCAATTTCAATTATAAATATTACAATGCATATATTGTTTATATTTTTGACAAACAGGGGATTAGAGATGTAATATGCTGCCTTATTATTCATTTCTTTCACACAATCCAGAAAATGCTTGAGATTTTTATTCCTTTACTAAATCTGTGCAGAAATCAAGGATTTTATAGTTTAAACTTTTCTGTTGAACTACAGTTGACCTCTTTACTGTCTGAGACTGAGTTAGACATTCAAGAAGCTCATGCTTTTTCAACATTAGATGGCTATTCATTGGATGTTTTTGTTGTTGGCGGTTGGGCAGTTGAGGTATTTTTCTCTTCTTTTCTTTATTAGTTGATTGTAGTACTGTGTAGTTCTAATAATAGGGAATCAGCTTTTCTCACACAACTGGGGAAAAATGTTTTGAACTGAATTGCATAACTAGCCCTTCTTTAAGTTTGACAACTTAGAATTTACTAGCACTCAGACTTCAATAGGATGTACCATTGAACTCAATTTTTGCCTCTCATTTCTTTGTGACCAATTTCCATGATATATGTCCATGTTTAAAATTTATAGGAGACAGAGAAGTTAAAACATGAACTGGCAAAGAAAATTCAGAAACTCCAGGTAGGCCCTTTATATGCCATTTGTGGTTACATGTTAATTGGATATGTTTGAAGATCTGGTTTTACCAACCGTAATGTTATTTAAACGTTTTTTAATTGCATTTCTTTGATAAATAAAATAAAAATTAAATTCTAAAGTTATTATTTTGCCTTTAATTTTTCAAACAAGAATGAAAAAATAGTGTGAAAATATCAATATGCATATAAAGAACCTTTTACTTATAATTAACATAGATCAATGGTTCCCCCACACCCCTTGGTGCCTGTCTCTTGATTTGTGCCCAAACTTTTATACTTTTTTTAAGGTAGCAATTAATTTTTCCTCATATTTATGGTTATAGTTCAATTTCCCTGGATAATAGCAAAAGATGATTATTTTCAACATGTACTCACATGTTAAAAAGTTCAATAGTTCATGTTTTAGTTTGAATGGAAGTTAACTAGTGGAGAAAAATACATATACAAGAAGTGCGGGTGCAATTTTCATTGTTCTAGATTAATATTAGCTTTCTATAATAATTGTAGTTAACAAATTAAGTGTTGCTTGCATCTCCCTTCTCCTCACTTTCACGGTAGAGAATTATTTGTGTTATATTTTGGGTGGAAATCCAGGAGCAACTTCTACTGAAAGAAAATATGAGTCTACCTACAGCAAAGCAAGAGCAAACCAGGATGAACTTCATCTCTAAAAATGTAAATTTGCCTACTTGTGGAAATGATATCTGCAGAATTGATGCAAGATGTTTGAGATATGAAAAGAAAATTGCATCTGGACCTTTCAGTGATTTGTGAGTATTATCATCCCATCTCCTTGATTTGTTTGTGGATCAGTAAATGTTGAGTTACTGATTAGTTGAAACAGGTATAAAGGTACGTTCTGTAATCAAGATGTAGTGATCAAAGTCCTTAAGAATGAGAATTTGAACGAAAATATACAAAAGGAGTTTGCTCAGGAAGCTTATATCCTAAGGTTTGTTCTATTCCAACTTCCATTCATCATACCCCACTCCTGGAGATTTCTTCGAATTTCCATAATATTTCAATAAATATAATTGCCAACAAGATATGAAGACTTGTCCAATCATTCGATCAGATTAGATAAAACAATGAAAAATCTCAGAGGTTCATGTCCTAAATTTCATTTTACAAATTTTTATGCATATCTATTGTCTGAATGCTTCTTAGTTGAAGTTGTAGTAAGAGGGAGAGAAAGAGAGGGGATACTTCAGTAGTCTTCAGTTTCTATGCTATATAGAAACCTACCTGTATTATGCTTTGTTGCAAATCCTTATATAGCCAATCCTAAGCCCTGATAAAAGGTGAGGGTTACTTTTTTAAATTTAATTCTTGCAGTAAAATTCAGCACAAGAATATTGTCAAATTTGTAGGCGCTTGTACAAAACCCCCTAACTTTTACCTTGTCACAGGTAAAATTTATCCTTCCTAGTTACATTTTGCTTATTGATTGCAAAGGTCAATGTAATGGGGAAAATATTGTCAATTTCAATGCATAATTTTTCTTAGAATACATGTCTGGCGGAAGTATGTACGACTTTCTGCATAAACAGAAGAATGTCCTTGCTCTTCCATCTTTACTCAAAGTAGCCACTGATATTTCCAAAGGAATGAAATATTTGCATCAGCATGATATCATACATCGGGACCTTAAAGCGGCTAATCTTTTGATAGATAAGAGTGGGGTAAGTTTACAGTGCATATTTACTTCGGATTTTACTGGCTATAATTTATGGTTGGTAAATTATTTGATGTCTTCCATCTGATTGTATATTAAGAATAAAGTGATTGGAGATGCAAATCAATTAAATGTATCAAAATTTTTAATTGAATCAACCTTGGCAGATGAAGGAATCAAAACATATTTGCTTTGTATATTTTTTTTTCCTACTTCAGTTTGACGTTTTGCTACTACATGTTTTCGTTTAGGTATACCTGATCATATGGCTTGGGTGATTTATGCCTTTGCATCTATAATTTAAAAAACTTTTCCAACAGGTTGTAAAGGTTGCTGATTTTGGTGTAGCTAGAGTGCACGATCAGTCTGGTATAATGACTGCAGAAACTGGAACTTATCGGTGGATGGCTCCAGAGGTCTGTGTACATATATGAATATTAACATAGGGTTGATTACTTTAAATTTATTAATTGTATAAATTACAGGCATGGATGAGGCTGTTTAAGGATACAATAGGCAGCAGTTTGTGATGTAATAAGACGAACCTAGACAGGTTGGAAAGAGAATGACATTTTTTTTCCTTGTGAACAATACTTAAAGCTAACATGATTTTCAGTACTTCTTTTGGTTGCATATGCGCTGTGCGGATGGATAATAATGATTTTTAAAAATCATATATTACACAAAAGAAAATTATTGTAACAATCTCCAATAAAAGACAACTGCAGACCATTGCTCTCAGATTACCTTCCCTCCCGTTGGCTGAAACCAAAACTAACTCTGGTTTTTACCTATGAATGCTTTAATTGGTTATGCAAAACAAGTAAAAAAAATTATGTTTCTGGCCTTCTGTTGGTCATTGTATTGATTATAATTAACTTGTGATTTCCTTGACATATGGAAGGTTATTGAACATAAACCATATGATCACAAAGCCGACATCTTTAGCTTTGCAATTGTTCTTTGGGAGTTGCTCACTGGAAAGGTAATAATGTTTTCTGCAGTTTCTCCCCTCTTTGTTCTCTTTCTTGACATCCAAATAACCAAGAATTAAACACTCCCCTTCATTTTCTCTGTACTTCTTAAACTGTATTAACCTTTTCTTTTATTAGCTACACTCTATCATTTTCAGTTGGGACTGAACTAATAGTGCTTAGCTATTGACATGCAAGACTTTTGTCCCTTTCAATGGAGTGGCATTTAACATGTAATGAAATTACCCTTTTAATACAAGTATATAGACTTAATGCTATTAGCTAGATTATTTCCTAGAACTGAAGAAGTTCCAAGAAATTTCTAGCCAATGTTGACCACACTAAGTCAGATAGGGTTAATGGATAATATACGAACTTCAGTATGGGGAAGAGTAAGTAATGATAGTTTCAGTGGTTTAAAAGTGAGTAAAAATGTGTCTATAACAGAAATGGAGAATAAAAGAGGTGGTAGGCATGCTTTGAAAACTTATTTCTTGTGTTTTTTTCGTTCAGTTAATTCACAACTTTCATCTAAGCTTTATGAATGAATGGCAGATTCCATATGAGCATTTGTCCCCATTGCAAGCAGCACTCGGAGTGGTCCAAAAGGTATTGCTTATCTAGGAAATTACATATGCACTTTTTTCTTCTCAATGTCCGTTGATAAGTGTGGAGACAGTGGAGTTCTTTAAAAATGTAAACTTGCATGTCATGGATACAAATGAGAGGTTGTGACTTATTCTTTGGAATTGTTTCTCCCTACAAAATTGCCAGTGTCAGAGGAAGAAATATTGCTAACTTGAGAACTCTATAGTAGTTCAAACTACCAAACCACAAAATATTGTGAAATTGAATAAGCTTTGTGGATGAATTGCAGGGTTTAAGGCCTAAAATTCCAAGGCATACTCATCCAAAGTTAGTGGAATTGCTTAACTGGTGCTGGCACCAAGATCCCTCCACAAGACCCAATTTCTCCGAAATTCTGGAATTTCTTCTGTATGTGACCAAAATGGTACGTTGAGGGCAGTATTGACAAATTGTGTTCAAAAGAAAAATTGAAGCTTCTAAAATGCTATTTTTTCTTCAGGCATACTTAAAAATTCTCTAAACAGGTTACAGGAGAATGTGAAGGCAAGGGAAATGCATGGGAATGAATATTCACTGAGGCATCCCTTAACATGGTGAGAGACTATGTGCACATGTAAATATGGGACTTCTTAATTTAATTTAAGTTCGTCGATTAGAACCTTGGACCCCCTAAATTATGAATATGAAGTTGATACTATCGCATAGAGAAGATGTATATAAACTTGGATGTACAGCTATTATTAAAATACCATATCTGGAACCAAACTACGATAATAAAAAAAATCTTTTTTCTTCAAAAATTGTATTTTATTGTTTGAGAATAGAATAAGATGCCAATTAATCTTAAAACATGCACCACCAAAATCATCCCCTCACCATGTGAAAAAGTTCCTATTTACTTTTACTTTTGATGCAGTTTAGTCGCTCTCAATTTTCTCACTCCTCGTTCGGTTCATAATTTATTATAAGTAAGTACAATATATTTTTAATTCCTGTAAATATGATTGAATTTAATTTTGACGATCCAAAATCTATTTTATTAATTTTAATCCTCATGAATTTTAAAAAATACAAATTTTCAATTACTAATTACTAATGATGCATTTAGATATGTCACGTCATATGTTATTTTAGAATAATTATTGATGTGACATAGTTAAATGTATTCTATAGAACTAGTTAGTGACAATAGATATTATCTTGAAGAAAATATATTTATGCAGTTAAATAAACAAATAAATAAACAAAATTAAAATCATTCATATTTATAAAAAATTAAAATATATTTATGCCTCTTTAATTCACTCCTAATTATGTCATTTTTGTCTGAACTTAAAAAACACATGTAAAAAATACGGTAAAATTAATTTTACAAGTTAAGTAAGATATTTTAAACTGAGACAGAGTAAAACAACGTGCTTAAAAGCTTGAGAAATCATTTTTGTGAATTGACCAATTTTTTTTCTCTTCCAATTTCCAAGTAACACAACGGGTTGATTTCTTTTTGCTTTTAAAGAAAGAAATTTAAGTGCCGGCAATAAATTTTTGAATATTTTTTAGCATAAATGCCGATAGAAAAATATTTGATACACGTTTTACAATGTTATTTACTATAAAAAAAAGTATACCAAGTTTATTATGAACGGCTAATAAATAGTATGTATAAGAACTTTTGTAAAAATTTTCCAAATATTTGATAATTAATCATAGTTTATAAAAGAAAAAAAAAAGAAAATGCAACAAAAATTTATACTTTTTTATTGGTGAATTGTTTACGATTTATATATGTATTTTTTAATATTTTATGCTGCAGGTTAAAAGAAAAAAGGAGAACTCTATCAGTGATAACCAGTTGGTGTTGAGGACTTTTTTTTTTTTCGGTTTTATTCCTACAGCTGAAGTTTGTAAAACACGAGAAGCATCCTGGAATAGTTATATTGGGAACATTTAATTGTTAAAGGTCTATGTAATGGAGCATTTCCTCTGCTTAATGCATGGTTCTCAACACTTCCAATAGCTTTATTCTTTCACTTTGATTGCTTGCGGAAGCCGAATATTAGTAACCCACGTCATCACATTCTACAGAGTGTTATAGTTTGGCATCCAAAGAGCGATAATGGTTAAATATTCTCAAATTTCAATCCCCATAGACTATTCTACTTTGGATAATTCTACTCTCCCAATGATTTAGGAAAAAATTTGTCAGATAATATAACTAATACAACTATTGATGAATAATATTGCTCTTCCACTTTTTGAAGAATAAATCATCCACTTCCTCTTTTTTATATATATTTTTCTGTTAACTTAATAAAAAGTTATTAATAAATGTCAATAACATTTATAAAAGTGTTTATGTAACACATTAAATGTAAACTTAAAATGTTAATTATAAATTACAGCAATATTCTAGGTTAGATAATATATATTAATGTAGACTTCAAGCAAATGAAGGGAAAAAATAAGAAATTTATAATTTGGTGAGAAAAATAAATTTAAACATGAATTTACTAATTATTTTCAGTCATGCTATGCCTTTTATGGGTGTGACATATGATTTAATGTATCAAATTAAAACTTAGCATGCAATATAAATTTTTTTTATTAATTTCTAATAATGTGACTAAATTAGAATATACTTATACATGGTAGAAATTAAAACGAAATTTTTATTAAATTAAGAATGAAACCAAAAACATATTATAAAGTTCATGAAAAAAAATTTGATGATTTATTCCCTTTTTTTAGTTTATGCATTACGGAAGATTTAGCATGCACACTGATCCGTTATAAGGAGCTTTATCGGAAGTTATGCTTAATTAGACATCGCCAACATTGTTTTACTCTCTAACACGTACAGAAAATAGCACTGTAGGCTCTATTCCGTGGCGAAAACGAGAACGTAATGGCCCAAAGAGAAGAATTTGTGGTTGATTGTGAAGGTAATTATGGCCGTAGCAACATCAAAGAACAAAATTTAGCATCAAAAGCTAGTGGCAGCGGTCCAAGTGACAAGTTTCGAGATCGAGATACGCAGGAAAACCGCCTCCAATCTTCAAATTCAGCAGAAAATGTTGTGAGGTCTATTTCAAACGATTCAACTGAACGATACTCGTGGAAATCAGCAATAAGCAGAACAAAGTCTAGGCTAGTTGACCCTCCAGAGGAATCATTTGCAAATTCAGAGTCTGGAAGACAAAATGTGGCGGAGGACGATGATGTTCTTAATATGGACAACGTTGTGGACATGCCAGAAGTTGACGAAAGAACGAGGTTCAGTGCATTCTCAATGCTTCCAGTGGCTATGTCTTGCTTCTACTGCACTAGCATTGGTTTCTAACCTTTGGATTTCACGCTTACAAAAGCTTAAACCCTGTGGCCTTTCCTTGTGGGAATGGGAGATAATGATTTTAGTACTAATTTGCGGTCGTTTACTCTCAGGTTGGGTAATCAACGTTGTTGTGTTCTTCGTAGAACGCAATTTTATACTAAGAAAACGGGTGCTGTATTTTGTGTACGGTTTGAAGAATTCTGTTACGAACTGTATCTGGTTGGGTCTGGTTTTTCTCCTCTGGCACTTTATGGTGGTCAACGAGGTGCAGAAAAAGGTCAACGACAGAGTTTTATCGTATGTGACCAAGGTTCTGTTGTGTCTGTTCTCGGGCACTCTTGTGTGGCTTCTGAAAACCATCCTTGTTAAGGTCTTCGCTTTGCACTTTCACGTGAAAACGTTCTTTGAACGGATTCGGGAGGCTCTGTTCAGCCACTACGTCATTGAAACGCTCTCTCGTAATCCGTTGAGGGAAGAAGAAGCTGAAGATAGATCTCGTGGGGCGTCGATTTCTGCGAGAAGTTGGAGACGTAGGAGGGGTAAAATGGAGAATGTGAAAAGCTGCAAGTGGACAAGGTCGTTGTGTGATGATAAGAAGCAAGATAAGGACATGTTAATTGAGCAGCTGCGTAAGTTGAATAAGAGAAATATATCGGCTTGGAATATGAAGAAAATGATTAATATCATCATGCATGGGGCCTTTACCACTCTGGACGAGCGTATATTGAGTTCAGATATTGAGGATGAAACTTTGCTCCAAAGTAGAACCCTTAGCCACGCAAAATGGGCTGCTTACAAAATATTTCAAAACGTGGCCCAACCAGGATCCGAGTAAGTGCTTCTAAACAAATCAATTTTCCCACTTCTTAATAAGAAAAATACATGTTCTTATAAGAATAATGCCTGAGATTAAAGTTGATTTTAGAGAGAATTTTCATATTATTTCTTTCATCCGATGGTTGTTTTTCTTGTTTAGTTAACGTAATTACATTGTTATTTCAGGAAATGAATTATATTCATTGCATTTATGTGTTTGGTGAAATTAATTATTGTGCAAATATGTCAACTCGTATTACTCATAATGAATTTACTGATTATAATATTTTAGATAAAGCAACTCTCCCCTTAATTCTTCCTTTTAGTCATGTTCTGGGAATTGTCTTCGTAGTTAGGTTGTGCTTTTCTTGGATTTAAGCCCAGTTTGTTAAAAAAATTGACATTTTTTAATTATGTTTAATTGTTTAAAATTAATTCTATTTTTTATTTAAGTTTAGAATAAGATGACTCTACGACTATTTAATTTTCCTTATCTGTGCTTAAACTAGGATTGCTTGATTATATGTTTTATCCTTTTTGGAGTCCTATCCTGAAGTCTTGAGTTGAATTTTGTCACAACCTACGCAATTGCAACAGATATTTTTTCGTGCAAGATGTGATGCAGTTTATGCGGAAAGAAGAAGCTTTGAAGGCAATGGATCTGTTGGGGGTAGGGTGTAGTGAGCAGGGCATTAGCTTGTCCTCTCTTAGAGAATGGATGGTAATGTGTTCCTTGGTGCCATGGTTACTACTTACCCTTCTCCAAGTTTTTTTAGTTCAACACACGTACAAGGGAAATTTATTTGGTTTTTGTTTTTTTATTTGACCTTGAAATGTTGTGTATAATTCTTTTGTTCTACATTTTTATTTTTTTAGGTGAAAGCATTCAGAGAGAGAAGGTTGCTAGCATTATCACTCAAAGACACAAAAACTGCTGTAGATGAGCTCCATTATATGTTGAACATCATCGTTGGTATTGTCATTTTGATAGTGTGGCTTGTTATACTTGGAATTCCAATCCTGCACTTCGTTATCTTCGTCCAATCACAGCTTCTGGTGGCAGTATTTGTGTTCGGGAATACCTGCAGGACTGTGTTTGAAGCAATCATCTTCTTATTTGTAATGCACCCATTTGATGTCGGTGATCGATGTGAAATAGACGGTGTTCAGGTAAAGCAAAAGCGACTTCCAGCTCCAAGTTTTTCCTTTTTTCTTATTTTATTATCGGTACAACCAATTCCAAGTTTAATTTGCACGTAACAAATCCACTTTCAAACTTGTTTGTGATTCTCAGATGGAAGTGGAAGAGATGAATATACTAACTACAGTGTTTTTGAAGTACGATAACCAAAAGGTTACATACCCAAACAGTGTTCTAGCCACAGTAATTATCAACGTAGTCCAGAAATGGGAGAGGCGATCGATTTCTGTATCCACATTTCCACTCCATTAGATAAAATTGCCACTATGAAAAGAAGGATTATAGAGTATGTGGAAGAGTGCATTTTAATACACATAGAATTAAGGAATGGTGATAATCTATTTTTCTTGCATATTTTTTGCAGGTATATTGAAAGGAAGAATGAGCACTGGCATGCGGAACCAATGGTAATCATGAAGGATGTTGAAGACTTGAACAAATTGA